AAAATATTGGTAGAAGGGCATGCATAAGGACATAGCAAATTTTGTAGGATCTTGTGAAACTTATCAAATGTATTCAAATATTTGGCATTGAGATAGATTATGACTTAAGGCAATTGGAGATAGGAATTGGATGTTTGTTTATGATAGTAGCTTGAATAATCAATATAGTACAATAAGAAAGTTTGCAAAGAGATAGTTTGGATCTTAGGTTGTCAAATAAATATATGACAATAGAACATACTTATTACAAAAACTTAATGGTATAGAATTGAAGATACTTATAGCAAGTAAGTAAATCAAGTTATTTAAACAAAGAAGTAAAGACATTTATTTTAATAAAGAATAAAATCCATTATAAGACATTGAGATGGAAGTAGAAGAGCAAATTGAAGATCAAGAATTTGACCAAGATGAAGAAAACATTATATTAATATAATAAAGAAAACATGGAATATATTGGAGGATGCACAGGTTTGGAGGGATGGATGTTGTGATATAATATGGCTAATGAATGAAAAAGAAAAGAAAAAATTATATTATAGAAGATCATGTTTTAAAATATTATAGCAAATTATCTTAGAAAATAGATAATAGTCAAAAAGATAGTAAAACTAAAGGATACTATTGCTGCTTTTTTACAAAATAGGCCTCTACTTACTTTGTAGGACCATAAATAAGACAAAATAAAGTAGATTTGAAAGAAAAATAATATAAGAATGTATAGGAGGGAATTAAGAGTAGATTTTAGCAATATTTAACTTAAGAAGCCAAGAATTGATACCGAGAGAAGATTGGTTGTCAACTTCGATTGAAATTAGACCTTGAGGCACAAAATTGTGCACCTACGATGATTCTAGGGTTCTTTGGTAGATCAAAAAATGGAAATTAAGAAAAGGCTTGAAGAAAGATTTTTCGGCATAAGTTTCATATCACTTAAGTCAATATTGAATTTTTGAAAGATTTTCAAAATTAATAATATTCCTAGTTGGTTTAGATTTTAAGAAATAAAAATATATTTATAAATTTAAAGGTTTCTTAAGTTTTGTGGTATTTATACATGAGAATTTTGGATAATGTATTATTATACTAGTTATAAATGTATGTGCAAATTTTAATGTCAATCAAATAGTTAGATCAAAGTGTGTGAAGGTTCTTGTGGGTCAAGTTCTCAAAAATTGGAGTTTGATGGTTAGTGAGTATTTCTAAGATATTCAACAATCTATCAATCGAATTGAAGTGGATTTTTTTTGTATAGATATTTTATTTGTTTTATAATATTATAGATAAAATTTGAGAGAAATTCAATGGTTTAATAAAGAGATATTGATATTGGAAGTTTAACATTGAGATTGGAGTAGGAGGCCACCTTACACCCAATTGGTTTAGCTTGCTTTTCTTTCAATTGGTAAGTGCAATTCATTTCATTTCTTTAAAGATTTATTTTTTTATTTTTAAATATTTTTAAATATTTTTTATTATTTTTCTTTGAAACCTCTTTATATTTTTTTTATAAATTTCTTTAAATTTATTTTACATTAATTAAAGTAAAATTAAATTATTAAGATCTACTTAAGTTATTTAAGGTTCTATTAGATTTGTTAGGATTGTTCTTATACTTCTGCTTAGCTTTTATAATTAAGCACCTAATATATTTTCAAGCAAGATCACACCTAAAATATAATAATAGATATATATATTTACTCTTATATTTATCTCTATGATTAAGTAGAAGTAGGTAAAAATAAATTTATTTCATACTATTTTCTAGAAAAACTTCTTAAAAGCTTTATAGATGTTGTTTTGACTTTACATGTATTTGTAATTGATTGATAGGATAGAAACTTGGTCAAAAATTTAATCACATATTGATAGCTTGCAAAACAAGCTAACTATGTGGTGTACATATAAAAAACTTATCTTGCAAGTTAAGATATGTATCTTGCAAAGTCAATACATTTTGGAGGTCCTATAGGACATCGCCATTTAGTTCCTAGTTAAGCATGTATATAAGTAAGAGTGAAGCCTTCTTCACTCTTATCGATACCTTTCTAGTCCTTAGTCTTATTTCAAAACTTTCTACTCTTCTTGTCTTTAGTAATAGCCATTCTAGTTCAATATATCACCATCTTTGAGTAATATTTTAGTCTTTTTGAGTGATATAGGAGTATATTGTCATTTTCATTCTTTGAGGTTCATATCCTTAACAGTATCTCATTGCACTTAAACTTAAATAACTTTAAATTTAATCCAAAAAACTAGCTGATATTTAAGACATATATTATAAAAAAAATAATTTCTAATAATTTATAAAAGACCAATTTCACTTCTGGCACAAAGTATAAGATATAGCTAAAATTACAAAGCTTGATTTTATTGCTTAAACTAGTGTTATAAAACCAAAATCCTAACTTTTATTAGATTTCACCAAATAACTAAAAAATTCATTGCTACACTTCTAAGACTATTGAGACCCTATTTAAGATTCTTCTTAAATAGTACTTTCCATTCTACCAAAGAATTCTACTTTTCTATAGGTGAGCATTTTTGTGCCTCTTTGTATGCTTTCAATCTTATTTCACAAATGTTCATTCTAAATATCAATCTAACATTTTGTATAATAATTTTTACAAAAAAAAATTCTTAGCTTTAATATGATTTTCTATTTTTTAATTTTTTTAATCTATTCTATTATGTATATTTTTTTATATATGGTCATATAAAATAAATAGAAGACTTTTTTTATTAAAAGAGCAATATAAAACATTGAATGTTTTACTATCTCCACTCTATTAATTATACTTCCTAAATAATATTTCTAATAATCTATCAATCACTTTTATCTACATTGGTCTTTACTTATCATTTTATCTTGTGGTTGTATTACAACACAATATCCACCTCTTTTAAACTTCTAATTCTTTTTCTAAATGCCAAATGAATCATACTATGTTGTTGGCCTCACACCATATCTTCAATGTTTGTATCCAATTTCTTCTCATCATTTTTAGTATCCAAATAAATACCATTATTACATCTTTAAATATAATTATATTTATGATAAATTGTATTTTTAGAAAATAATTAATACACAATATTAAATTCTATTGACTACCATATTTTAAAAAATTAATACTACTAGATAGCTTATTCAACCTTCAATGTGAAATTATAGTTTCAAAATATTATAATAAATACAAAATACTATTGAAGTGGTTTTAAGATCATTAAAGATTTATTAAAAATAAAAATAAAATACACTTTCTATTATTTTAAAATAAAATATTACTAAAGTATAAATATACAAAAATTATTAATGGTGCTAGTCAAATATAAATAATGCTACATGTCATTAAACTAAAAAAAATTTCAAAAATTAAAATATAACCTTAACACAACACAGATAATATAAATCTCCTAGCACACTGGGAGAACTGCTTTGATAGCTGTAGTTGGAGCAGCTGACATGAGTAAGCAAATCGCATGGCATGGTTGAAACTTTTGCAGAAGTTGCATTCTTATTGTAATATGGGAATAATGTTGCTGACAAGAGCTTTAACAAAGATTCACTCTGATTTATGTTCTCCAGGATTTTGAAAGTTGTAGTTTCCATGATTGGGTTTGATGAACTGTGGGGTTGTTTCCTGATTTATGAGTCATGTTTCATATCTGATCCTTGTGCAGTGGTTCAAAACCGGCACTGTGTCAATGGGGAGGGATCCATAGTTTCATTCTCATTCTTCAACTTCAGCCTGGAAGAATAAAACACGCTTCTTCGAGGTGTTTGATGTGCGTGGATCACAAGGATGAGAGTATCGTTTTAAGTTAGATATTCTGATACCTAGCTGAAACTTTGCAGTATATTCGGACCTTATTTTTCAATCTAGCGCTGTAGGGTGAAGGAACTTCATTGTTACAGTGGTCGAAAGCTGTGGAAAGCTCCACAGAAACCCACTTTAAGATTACTGGTAGGGATAAGGGTTTATATCCCACCGCAACCTCATGCATATCACAGGCAATAAAGTCGTACTTCGTGTCTGGAATAACTTCATGCAGTGTCAGTTTGGACACGTATAGCAAGATGTTTTTTTCTGGATGGATCTTTGAAAGTCCGTGGCTTCTCGACACCGGACCCTCCCCACTTTGTTGCTTCAAAGACCTTGTGTCCTGCTTTTCCTGTGGGTATGGAGTCCTTCTATGTCAATTAAATATTCTTTAATTGTTGCAAATCTGCCCAAAGCCTACGAAGACACAAGCAAGTATTCAAAGGATTCGACCCTATTGAGTAGCCTTAGGAGTGCATCGGACATCGATCAGCCACTCGGAATGCTTTAAACCAAACTTGTGATTTTTGTTACGACGATAACAATGCATTAATTTTGTCCACCGCCGAAGTTTTCACTGAATTCTGAAGCTATTGCAGCCACATTGAATTTATTTTGTTAACACGTGTGCTCAGGACTTGCTGAATGCTACTTTGATAACTTCAGCACACTACAGCAGATAAGATTACGCATTATTTTTTTCCTCGTGTAATTGTCTAAACGTTCAAGTAAATCTTCCTTCGAGTTTTTTAACATGATCTCCTCCTTAAAAACTCAGCAACAGCTTATTTCTCCACATTTTATTCTAGCTAAACCGGGTGGTAGGCAATGAAATTGTACATGTTAACCATGTGCAATTAACTCAGCGTTATTTTAAAAGCCATGTGGTGATTCTAAGGGTATCACTTGGAGTCGATTAGGATAGACGGGAATGCAAAGGAATCAATCCTCAACAAACATATTGTAACCAAGCACTGACCAAGTTTCCAGGAACATCCAAGGCATTTCCTGAAACCGGAAACCAGAAAGACTTACCGAATTCTGACGTAGAATTCGGAACCTCTTACAATTATTTCGACGTCAACAACGCATCCACGGTCCGTGATAAGAAGACACGGAGCTCTGAAAGACTGAATGTGCGCACCGGTGACAAGAAGCAGCCCTGAGGACTACGTGATGGACATGGAAGACAAGGGGGATGAAGTTGACATTGACTGAAGGATCAAGTAATGGCAGGCCCTGCAGAAGAATTCTTGAATCTTTTTCTGTGAACTAAATCAAATCCAGCTTATATGCAATGCGGAGGGTTACCTGTTTGACTTATGGGTGTATTGGTCGCACTTGACTAAAAAAGTAAGATTAAGATTACACTCGGAGAACTTGGAGCTTGTTTCCGAAGGCGATGGCAACCCAATCGGAATGTGACGCCGACCACTGTAGTTGATTGACCTCGCCTCCTGCCGTGTACGCTAGAATTGGATCCAATCCTCCATCGACAGCCTTGGCTGACATATCCCAAATCAGAGCCTGAATGTCCAAAAGATCAGCACGAATTTGAATGAGATTTTTCCGCAAGTTCTGTCGTCGCAAACATGATTTCAATGGGGGGCTTTTTACGGAGGATTTAGGTTGGAAATTATGTCAGAGTGGGAGTTACCTGGGAATCGTCACCAGCCGAGCAAATGTGGCAAGCGCTGTGAGGAGCCCAGGCTATGGCGTTCACGCTAGCCAGGTGCCGCTGTAACTCCGAGACTGGGACGGTAGGGTATCTGATGTCCAGTATCACGACCTTCGACGAGTCCATGAGGATTGTTGCCATGAAGCGAGGGTCTTCTTTATTCCATCCCAAGCGTAGGAGAGGTGCGGAATCTGGCTGCGGGCTTTCGTAGATTATCGTGGAGTTCTGCTTGTCTCGGAGGTCGAAGACTCGAACGGAGCCGTCCGCTGATACCGATGCAAAGACGCCGATCCCGCCCCATGCGATGTCGTGGACCTCTTTGTCGTGGGCAATAAGTTGCGTGTCCACGACGCCCGACTCGATGTCCCAGATGGTGCACGTTGTGTCGATGCTGCTTGTCCCGAGCCTCCGGAGGTCGGATTCGTTCCAGTCTAACGAGGTGAGCGGAGAGCAGTAGTCGCTGTTCTGTCGATTGTTTAGCAAGCTCTTGAGCTCCACTTTGTCCTCTTCAATTCGCCAAATGCGGAGATTGTCGCCCGTGGTCGCCAATAGGTCGGGCTTCTCGCTCTCCTTGTCGGGGATGAACATGATTTTTGTAGCCGGGTATGGGTGGTCGAAGGAGAGCTTTGGATCGGCAGAAAAATTCACACTATCGTCGTCCAATTGCACAATCTCCACCTTGTTTCTGTAGTCCTCAATGAAGCTTCCTACAGCAAGACGAAATTTGCTGTTCTTCCGCACGCTCCAGTTCATTCCGTAGACGGCCCATGGCGCCTCGTAGGTAAAAATCCCTCTCCGCTTAGCGTCCTGATCGATCTTTTCGCCACTCGCCATCTTCTCTCCCAACGCCCCTCAACGCTACCAGTTCCTGCTATTGATGCACCTTGGATTGGACCTCACTAAAATGTGAAGAACAATACCTGCACCAAAACACAGAAGACAAATAATACCCCTTCACTTTTAATACAAAAGAATCGAACGGCGCTCAAAGCCTGGGGAATGATTTCTGCTTTACCAGAAAAAATCACAAAAGGCGTGACCTAATTTCTCATCAGCGCGAAGAAGCACTTTTTCAGGACCTTTGATTGATGCAGCAAAGTCAGACAAACGATCAGACTTGGCAACCTCGCCGCGGTAACCATGATGGCAGCAACAGTCAGTTGCAGAAGTCACACGCTTACATAGAAAACCTGTTGACTGAGCTCCATAGCGCGATTTGGACACTCACCCCCGTCGAATGGATGAGGAGAGCTGCTCGCAATAGTCTCATGCATGAACATTTCGAGGGGGGACTTTCACAGGCTACATCTACGAGCAAAATCAATCACGAGGGTGCGTACATCATGCAAGAGTGTTACCACATTCGCTGGCGACGATCCTTTTCAGCTCTTGGATTTCGCGATCCTCAAGCCCTTGAAGGATCCACAACAAGCTCGTTCATACAGATAAAAATAAATAATAAGAAAAACACTTCGCCGCAAACGACCACCATCCTTCGCCTCAAACATTTCGGCTGCACCCACCACAGCTCCACGACACAATTTCCAGCGGCCGAATCGTTAATATAAACACAAGCCGCCTCCACCGCAATCCCGATGACCCAATTAACCCGTGTCGGTATGCATCCGTCATTGGCAGTTGTTGGATCTCGTGGCTGTGATGCACCGTTAGCATTCAGGAACATGCTACGCTATCGTGCAGGCACAGCAGGCAGGAGAACCCAGGGGAGGCGGTGAACTGATCAGGAAAGATCAGGGTGAGCGCGTGAGGGACTGAGCTACATACGTGCACCACCCCACGAATCATTCACTTTTCCATACATTAAATGATATAGTCAAATAACGGGGGATTTATCACGTCATGAGCAACTGCCATGTGGGAAGGCTCCGCATTCCGAAGGATGCGATGGAACCGTATACCCCCCCCCCCCCCCCCCCCCCCACACCACCCCATCCCACCCGACCCCGGGGCAGGCGCCGTCATCGCCAGGAAAAGATTCCGCACGTAGACTTCAGAACTCAGCGAGTGACGCCGAGAAATTCATTCTGGGTTGGTTGAGTTGCTCACCAGTCGCTGGAAGATATGGATTGGGCTCTAAAGCAGTAACTGCGCAGGACCACAAAGGGGATGTATGACCACCTTGCCGGCGAGGGGCCAGCACAAGCCATCCTCTCCCCATCCATCCCTCCCTGGCTTTGTAATATCATCATCCTTCGGATTTAGTGGCGCTTTCCCCGCACTAGTTTCGCTTCTTCCTCCACAGCTCCCCTTTACGACGGCCCGGATGATATCGCCAACCCCCCACTCTCTAGTCCTCACTGTTCTTCCACAGTGGGATGCACTGGCCCTCCCTTCTAGCCAATTAAACTTTTAATAACAATAAAACTATTATAATAAAAATCTTGTATCTATAATAGCTTAATTAAAGGAAAAATATTTATTTTAAATTTTCTTTTGAAGGAATATTCTATAAGAGACATAGTCTTGTATTGAAATCCTATTTTTTACTATTTATTTCAAAATTCTTAAATCAATTCATTAGATTGGTGATTTTAAGCACCATAAGTACATTTTTTTTGTATTAAATGTATAGGTGAGTCAATTATGTGACTCACAATGATATCTTAGTCTACTCCAAGATTTTTGAAGAATATAGAGAATATGTGAGATTGATCTTGTAAAAATTACCAAATGTAGGACTATATGCCAAATTGAAAAAATATATATGCTATCAGCCAAAAGTAGAGTTTTTTGGATATATTATATCTAATGAAGGTATGTAAATAGACTCAAAGAAAGTTCAAGTTGTAATAGGGTGCACAATTCCAAGGACAGTACAAGATGCACAATATTTTTTTTGGATTTGCTTATTTTTATCAAATATTTATCAAGAATTACTCCTAAGTTGCTACTCCTTTGATTCTATTGACATCCAAAGACAAATTGAAACAGGGACTTCAAGTAAAAAGGGCTTTTTAAGATTTGAAGGTAGTTTTTATTATAGCTCCAATTTTAAGATATCTAGATTTCACAAAGGCCTTTTATTTGGAAAATGTTTTCAACTTACATTAGGAATTGTACTATCACAGATAGAAAAGGATAGAAAGCTCCACCCAATTACATTCTATTCTAAAAAAAATTTAATAGTAGAAATTAATTATAAGATTCATGATAAAGAGCTTCTTGCAATTGTAGAGTCTTTTTGAGAATGGCGTCACTTATTAGAAGGTGCTAAACATCCTAAGATTATGAATATATATATATATATATATATATATATATTATAAAAATTTAAAATATTTCATATCAGCTTGGATTTTGAATTCCTACCAAGCTCATTGAAATATGTCATTATCTTCTTTTGATTTTGTGATTACATATACATCAAAGAAGTAGCAAAGACTATCAAATGCTTTAATAAGGAGATTGTATCTTATTCCAAAGGTCAAAGAAGCAGCATTTGATCAGCAATTAAATACTTTGTAGAAGTAAAAAAAAGTTTGTCTTTGTACTACTTCTATAGTTATACTTGTTGATTCAAGTTTTTTTGAATAAATTTGTGCAACATCAATTAAAGACTCATCACTTTTTAATATCAAATTTCTAAAAGATCTTTTATATTGTGAAGATTATTTATGTATTTCAAAAAGATTGAAACAACTTTGTATTCTTCAATCTCATCATGATTTTCCAACTATATGATATTTTTGATTTAACAAAACATTGGAGCTTATTTCTTGAGACTTTTAGCGGCCTCAAATGTAGAAGGTTGTACAAGACTTTGTTCTTTCATATAACATTTATTCAAAATCTAAGAATTCTTGTCATCATCCTTGTGGATTTATATAGCCATTGTCAATTTTAAAGCATCTATAATCTTCATAATTAATGGATTTCATCATTGATCAACTGCCATCAACTACATTTGATGCTATCTACATTGTTATGGATTCACTTATAAAGATAGTACATTTTGTGCCATACAAAAAGATAATTTTTAGAAAAAAAATGATAAGGCTCTTTTTTGATAATATATATTAATATCATGGCCTATCTAATGACCTTATTTTTTATTGAGGACCTCAATTTATTTCAAAGTTTTTAAAATCTTTTTTTGAAATATTCAAGGTAGATATTAATTTTTTTTTCCTTCCATCCTCAAACCAATAGTCAAATAGAATAAGTCAATCAAGTTTTAGAACAATATTTACAATGTATCATCAATTATTAACAAGATGATTGAACCTTATATTTACCTTTAGTAGAGTTTACTTATAATAATATTTTTTATGCTTTGATTTAGCAACCACTATTTTATGCAAATTATAATTATCATCCAAAGCTTGATTTGTTGGGTACATCAAAAGATGAAAATCTAACAACTGAAGATATTACAAAAAAATTATCATAGCTCCAAAAAACTTTGAAGCTCTATTTATAAGTAGCTTAAGATGATTATAAAGCATCTTTATATAAATTTATAAAAAAATTTCTTACTTTTCAAGTCAAATTAAAATATAGCTTCTTTGAAAAAATATAAAAATTAATCGACCTTATAATAAGTTAAACTACTAAAATTTGGGGCCATTTTGTAATCAAAAGCAAATCAGTTCAATAGATTATTAGTTGGAATTATTCACATCTATGAAAGTACATCTAGACTTTTATATTTCTCTCTTAGAGTCTTATTCAAAATAAACTATTTGAAGAAGAATACAACTATCATCACCTTACATTAAAATAGATAATCATGTAGATTATGAAGTAAAAAAGATTCTTAATTCTCAAAAAAGAAGAGGTAAGTTGGAGTATTTTATTTACTGGAATAGCTACAATATCAATGAGCATATGTGAGAACTAACAAAAAATCTAATTAATACATTGCAAAAGATACAAGAATTTCATCAATACTAACTTCAATAATTTAAACCTATTTAAAAATGACTTCTCTACAAAGCTATTGCTAAAATATTGTATTTAACAAAAAGAGCAAGTATTACTCACAACAACCTCAAATTTTAGTATATTCAATTAATTGTCATGGACTGTTGTTCTCGTTGTCTTCAAGCTTCAATATACCAAAGCAATTGAACTAATAGAAGTGGATTCGAACACGGGAAAAGACTGGTTATATGAATTGGGTCTGTTAGTGTCACAATTGACTGTATTTTGGCTATCTGAAAACAAGTATCAAACTACAAAACATCAAGGCTTACTACTTCTGTCTTAATTCAATCCATAATCCATTCTACAATTATCAATTCAACAATACTTCTCTCAATCACAATTCTTTATAAGCAAATAATAAAGAGGTAGCACCCTTTGAATTCTTGACCTTCTCCTCTGATACATCTTCATTGTCTGCCTCGGTGTTCGATGGTTTTTCATCCAAACACATGGTTAGATCTTCATTCAACAAACTCAATTCCCCTACTTGAGACTCATGTCGGGCAATTTAGTTGTTACACTCCTCCAACATCTTTTGTCATTCTTCTGTCGATTTCAAAGGTATCTCTGAAGGTGTTGTTGCTGAAACTAGCGTATTGGTCTGCACTAAATTATTGGCCTACTTCGCTAATGTGGCTAATTTAGTCTGCAACATCGCAACCTCTACCTGCAACCGTTCTTACCGTTCCTTCCAATCGGTTTCCATCCTTACTTTCTTACACACCATGTTCGTCATCTTCTTCTTAACCACAAAAGAAAATATGATGCTTGTCAAGAGTCCCCCTCCTACTTCTTATTATGGTCCAATAAATTGGATTGAATTCCTCTTTTGTAACAAAAAATCCATCTCAGATTTATGTACAGTAAAGTTTAAGCCGATTACCATTGATCCGTGTCATAAATTTAGTACTCATAAAATCTTCCAATTATACTGAACCATTTAGAAATCCGTCAATAACTCGATATGGCTCTACCATCAAACTTGAAATTTTCCTAAAAAAATTTTAAATCGACTATCATAAAGAAGTACCAAATCATTTGGCATAAAAGCCTTTGGTCTAAGCTTACTATCATAATAAGTCTTCCTTCGTTTTTGTGGAGTTTCTATTATCATTAATGCATTGGCTCTAGTTTCATTTAATTTTTTTAATTCTTCTAAATGGTATCGTAATGAATCTTGATCTCCCAATCTAGTATCTACAGCAATTCGTAAATTTTGGACTTCTAATTCAATAGGTAATATTGCTTCATGGCCATAAACCAACTGGAAAGGGATAGCATTGGTAGTAATTTTATACGCAATACGGTATGCCCATAAAGCTGTGAACAACTTAGTGTCCCAATCTGTGCCCGCTCCTGAAACTATTTTTGTTAAGATTTTACATAAAATTCTATTAGTCTTTTCAATTTGTCCATTGGCTCTAGGGTGATACGGTGTACTCTTTTGATATATTATCTTGTATTTAGCCGTGAATACTTCGATTGTACTATTTATAAAATGAATTCCTCGATTACTAATCAATTCTCGTAGACAACCAAATCGTGTAATAATATTTTCATACAAAAAGGTTGCTACTCCTTTAACCTATTTTGTTACGTAATCCATTGCTACAAGTATATACCATTTTTGTCCATTTCTCAAGGCTGGTGCAATTGGTCCCACAAAATCAATTTCCCATTTTTCAAAAGGCGCTTGAGCCAGAATTGGTACCAATGGCATTACTGAAGTTCCAGTAGGTCGACCCATTCTCTGACATGGGTCATAATGACGGATGAATTGGTGGGCATCTACAAACATTATTGGCTATTAATAACTAGCCTGTAAAGCTTTACGAGCCGTACTGTCTCCCACAAAATGTCCACCACAACTGTCCAAGTGGCAACCTTCTAATATAGTACGTACTTCACTTTGATAAATATAGCATCACAAAACTCCATCCTTGCCTTGTTTATATAAAGCTTCACC